TTTAAATTACTTTTGCGGTGAAACCTAATTCGTTTTTAGTACACTTAATGTCGTATTATATTACATAAGTGAACACATCAAATAGGTAATTTTACACACCCAGATCCATAAATATTTCCAATAATGAAAGCAAATAATATCACTAACGGTTATCGTAATTTAATACTATTGTATATACATGACAAAATACAGAATAAAGAAAGGCATATGAGTCATTATTTTCTAATCACAAATTATACGATACTAGTAAAAATATATCATTAGTAAGACTAGATTCAATGTTGATACCTGCAGAAATTTCATACTTTCTTAATACTGGTGTGTTTAAGCAAAACGTACTAACTTATGTGTCTCATCCTAGCATAGTAAGTACAAAAAAAAAAAAAATAAAAATAAATTTACAAAAATTAGTTTTATAAAATACAATTATAAGTAACTAGTATTGAAATACGACTAAAACAACTAGCTTCTATTAATTTTAAAAGTAAATGAAAAATAGTTGATCATCTTAAGAATGTCAAAAGTGACGAAACGGTGAGTTTGGTAGATAATGGCTTCGGATTTTTTTCTTTATTTTAAAACGAATGGTTTATTTAGAAAATCTAATACGAACGTCACACAATAATATTATGTTGAACGTCAATAAATTGGAGAGCCATCATTGAATACAATGCAGGGAAGCTGTTCGTATCTCTAAACTATATCTTATCTGCCCTTTTTCGACTCCACACAAGATTTCAAATTATAATGTGAAAAGACAATTATATAGATTACTGCCATATGTGTATAATTGATCCTGAACAATTATGAACGACAGGTACAAATTATAGCGTGCCAGAACAGGTGCTAGTATGTGTTCACGGCAGGATTTCGAGTATCTAAGATACCGTGGTTATAATAAGGTCAGAATCATAACGTCTTTATATCTACATATAGTGTACCAAGTCACATTTGTATTTAACCGTGGTAAGAATAATGTGAGTGTCTAAGTGACGGACGATGTAATTATACCTATACGCCGAAATAACGAGGCGCTAAAATGGTAAAATATAACATAACGAATATTACCTATTCATTCTTAGTACTATAAATTTATGCACAGGTTCACAGCGTTGAATCTGTATCTTCTCCACCAGGTACTATTGCTGGTGCATTTATCATCTACTATATTAATGTATATTGTAGTAGACAAGTATCATAACGACTAAACGTCTTGGATTTTAGAGCATGAGAGCTATTAAAACGGAATGCGGATGGAACAGTGATCCAATACGTTTTTGACTTTTAATTAAAGAGAATTCCGGTTATTATGCACTGATTAGATTTACATATTATCCGTGAATCTGGTTACCTCGTAGCGGTGATATTCAACAGATAAAGGGCTTGAACAATAAGCATTTATAATATTAATTTATTCAAATTTAAAAGCACATTTTTACTCTCCATCTCCGTCTCTATCTTACATCAAATATGGCATATTATTCAAGGGTGAACTGACTTGGGAGACAAAGACGCAATCACTTCCCGCGCCCTCAATAGTGTCATATTAATAACAATTATATATACTCGTATACAAAATATAATATTAAAATATAATAGTAAAACACCGTTCGTTTACTACTAAACTAATCTGAATTGAGATGAATTGAGCACTGTTAACTAAAGATATTTATTAATTGAGACGTGTTAATAATAGGTCCAGTTGGTAAAGACCACGCCCCTATAATAATATTATTATTCACACGTGCTGATCATAATTTTTATGTAATATTATATGTTCAAGGGTTTTACATGCTATGTAAATGAGTTTACCGTATTATTTGTGTTAAAAGAACAACTCATATCTAAAATAAGTCTGAGATTGCTTTTAATAATCGTACAATTAAGATCAATTAATGCTTCAAAAGCATACTGATTTCCTATTCTACTATTTAAAATAATTATATTAATAAAAAAAATTATAGTTACACTTAAATATAAGAAAAAAATATAAAACTCTCATTTCTTCGACAGTTTAAAGTGTATATTGACATGTGTTGCAATTGAGAATATGTCATATACTCTTAGTATCATTTTTCTCGTTACATTTCTATAATTCAATGTTACCCATGTACGCTATCGTATGTGCCACAAATCTTTATTAGTTGGGTTTATATTATCACAATATTGAATACCATAATCATGAGTTTCGCTAAAAAACGCACTGAAAACATACAGTATTTTTATTTTATTTTTCTAAACCAGTATAAAACTGGTTTGTTTCTTTTCATATGCAATTGTTTAAAAAAAACCTGTCTAACCGAATCACCGTATGTACCGTAAACAATAGGTGCCGTCTGTTATTGTGCACTGAATTTTTTGATATAATAACCTGAAGTCGTTAATCTTTTTTGTTCCAGAGTTAATATTACCGTTTAAATTTTTTTAAAAAACTAAGCGTAATACATAGATTTTTAGCTCGGTATGATAGAGTGGGAAACATTTAAGTAGCTAATAACATTAACAAATGGTGGCGTGAGACGTCATGGATATTATACAGAGATTTTAAACAATAATTATTGGTTATATAATATCTCTGATATAATCACAGTAGATGTGGTGGCGGTAGAGATAGAGCGCGGGTTGCCAATAGAACGTGTGCATATTAAACGTATTATTTGATCAAGGACGTTTATAGATTAGATCGATGATGATAATATTGATAGTTTGGCTCAGTGGCGCCAAAATCCAAGTATTAAATAGGGTAAAAAATATTTAAAAAGGTTAAAATATATAAATATCTACCCTAGTGGAATACCGGTGACGAGAGGGGGGGGGGGGTTTTGGTAGATAATTTTACTCAAAAACTATTGATGCCAGACTTTAATTTTGTAACGAAGACTTTATACGGTTTGGAAACCAAATTTTGGCTCAATATGAAGCGGCCCATCGCTCAATTTACAAAAAATATCGGGTTAAAGCTTATACATAACATAGGGTTCAGCGCCACTGGCTAGTGATAGCACGTGCAAGTAATACGTGTTATTTTTTAAAATTTTTTTTTTTTATAAAACTATAGTGCCCTGCGTTTCCGCATTCGTGCACTGTGTTCAGATTATTAATACAAACATGGCGATCGAAGCGGTGAACAACTGCTCTTTGTGTGTGGGTGTAATGATATTGACATGAAAAAATATAAAAAAACGAAAAATACACGCAGATACACATCCAACAGTAAGCATTAAAACGTGTATTCACATTTATGGAGTGTTACAGTGTAACCATACTCGTGCGAACACGAATACCATGCTACAACTGAATGGGGGATAGTTACTTTGGATAATTAGTACCAGATATTTTACTTAAAGTATAAATAAGCTTATTTATAAAATATAAGATAATGTAAAACTCTTTTTTTTATTTAATTTATTTGTTTGTAATTTGTAATCATCTGCACATGTTTATATATGGACATCATTTTACTAACGAAAAGAGGAGCACTAGATCAAATTATTCCAGTAAGGTCGATAACCGTACTATCTATATTTTCCGTAAAATAGAAGTGGAAAGGTGTTCACTATGGACTCATTAAGTTTTCGATGAGTGTTTGAAATGTGTTCAGGATGAGGGTCGGTAGCAAATAATATGTTCAGAGAAAATATCAAAGGAAAAATGCCACTTATTATTTTATTTGAAATATATCACTGGGAACGCGTTGGATAACGTTGAAAATCTTTTTAAAGCGAACGATGTACCTTAAACGTGTCGTGTGGAAATCGGTGCCGTTCACCCTTAACGTCGTTTTACCCACCAAGTCGCGCGAATATTTTGTGTCCGATAGACAGCGAAACTGCAAACGTCGTCCGACAGGTCGCACTGTGTGCCGCGAGTTCAGCTGTTCGGAAGTTTCTGCGATCATTGTGTAGTACCGGTGGACGAGAAAAAAACAAACTGAAATGTGAAATGTGTACCAATACGGACGTACACGTAATAGTATTTTACGTATAGAAATTCGATAACTAGAACTCGTGAGAGGTTAAATAATAATTCAAGTATCTCGTTATTTATGTGCTCTTTTCTTTAACTGGAAAAAAATGAGTCGACTTGTCGAGATTTCGCTTTACGTTTCGCTAACGCGTTGATACTAAAATCTTTCAAACTCCGTGTAACGCGAAGTATTGAAGTCGGAAAAAAACGAACCGTGGTTAACATCTGTGGTAAAACTTTTTGAATATTATCGAAGCAAATCGAACGTTAAGTTTAACATAATAACGTTTTCCCCGTATTGAAAAATGGACGGTACTAATAGCGGTGCGGTCAACGTTAAGTTGTCTGTTTGTAGAATGGATTCAGAACACGGGAGGGGGGAGGGTTAGAGTGGTACGGAGAAAACGATTTCGAAATATAAAATTAAAATCATCGACTCACCACCGTTGTACGAACAGAGCAAGGGGTCGACGTATCGACGGGGGTGTCGTTCACACTCGTTCCCGTGTAGATGATAACGATACGACACTGTTATCGTGCAAATGCGCGCGCGCTTGCCGTCACGAGCTGCTCCGCTCGTGCGCGTTGATAAAATATCCTTTTTCAGTGGTGGGGAGAAATCTCGGCCAGGGACATTGCGCAGGAATTCGTCGATGCCGCTAAACGCGATATAAAAAATAAAAATAAACGAATAAAAAAACCGGAGAAGACACACACACACATACGCGTGCACACACACACACACACACACACACACACACATACACACACGCACGTACACGCACACAGACATAGAAAGAGAAGTAAAAAATCGTTTAGTAAAACACACGCGAGTTTTAAGGTTATAAGGATACTTTGAATTATTTGTTTGTTTTTTTTTTCCCCTGTTCAACATTACACGCATACCGCGTCGATTCCGTATCGTTTCCGTGTGCGCACGGCGTGATACATTGTCCGCGTCACAAGTTTAATCGAATGCGCGAGCGCACGCGTTCATTCGCGGACATCTCGCGCGCGTTTCGTGCACACAGTATCATGTACTTACTATTATATACAGTATAGTTGTATATGATATTTTGTATTTCATTTGATAATTCCCGTTATCACATTGTTTTCTTGTTTTCACTCTCGCCCGCTCACTGTCTCTCGCACACTCTGTCTCGCTCTAGTCATTTTCTTCCTAACACTACATTTACGCGACAACGTTAGAACAACGTTCGAGTTGATATAAAATTATTCGTCGTCGGTATTTCATTTTCGGGCATTATATTTCCTTCTAGTCTGTACACTCTATTCAAACACACTTAAACACGCACACACACACACACACACACACACACACACATACACACATACGCGCGCACGCACACGCGCACGCACACATTTTTATATACATACACATTTACTGATTCTCGTACACCCGTGAACTGAACTTTGTCGATGGAAGGTGAGTCGAATGACCTACTAACAAAAAGCTTAGAGTAGCCGTAGCTGTTGTTTTGGTAGATGTAGCTGAGTGTGTCTTCGCGTACGTAGACGAGACACGTAGAAGTATATACAACGGTGTATAGACCGCGGTTGCGTTAAAAACAACCGCGATATAGACGCTTAGCAGCAGCCGTACTAGTGTACGGTCGGTGGAAATCCAAAAACGGAAAACCTAACCCAGGTCGTGGTCGTCTCGCATCCGGACCGTTTATCCGACGTACGTAGGGGGGGGGGGGGGGGCCGGTCGTGATGATGTAACAATATTTAACGCGTACAGTATCGTTGTCGTGACGTAGCGAGTAGTGCAGTAGTAGACGCGTCGCGATATGTCGTCTCCCGCAGGGTCCTTGGACTCGGGCGAATACATGTGTTACGCGTATAATACTTGCAGTTTGCGCGCGTAGGGCTTTCTTCGTTATTTTCCTCGCCTTTTCTCGCGGTTCGTATGCGCGCGCGCGCGCGCGTGTGTTTACCGAAAAAAAACTGTAAATAATAGAAACCGGGGTAAATGCCGAGTTTATTTTTGCCGATTTTCGAGAAATTGCCATCGACGTTTTATCGAAATACTGCGTGCGCGCGCCAAACGATTTTACTTTGAACACTCGTTGAACGTTGTCGTCATCCCTTATCAGCGTAACACGAACCACCACCCTTGTGGTGTGTTATTGTGCCCGGGGCGGTGGGACCGACGAAAAAATCGATACTGTTTGGCACGCGTACACGCACGTACATGTACAAATCGGAGAACACCACACACGCGCGCGCGCGCGCGCTCTCACGTCATGATATACCATGTTTTTTATTTACGCGGGGTGTACGTATCTTTTTCCGTTGACATTTTCACAATACGAATCGAACCGATCGATGCGAGTACAATAATATTACGTTCGTATTATAATACCTCGTCGATACGATTTACGTAGTAATATTGTACACGGGGATACGACGTCTTGATATCTATTATCAGTTATCGTTTGCAAATCCTGTAACGGACACAGTTTTCAACCGTGTTTCCCGGTGGCGCGACGGAAAAACGTGTACACCCCACTCTTGCCGAGCGCACGGCTAGAGCGCGTTAGCCTTATGTAAGTGACTCTTCTCGCGTGACAAAATGACGTAAAAACTACTTCTATTTGGGTAGGTCTTCAAACCAGTGCCGTAAGTACTGGATGTGCAGAGGGTGCATTGCACACAGGCTCCGAGCTTCGAACTATGTGTTACGGGGCCTCAAAAAACTTTGACGATTCGGGGCCTCGAGTGGTTTAGTTACGGGGCACTGCTTCGAACGTATAATGACGATGGGAAATATACTATTCGTCGTGGAAACCTCAAAAATCATATGAAATATGAACTTCACGTGTGTTTTTATTTTTGTTGTTCGATTTATTTAAATTATTCGATTAACGTTGTTGTGTACTTACAGGTTTACTTTCAGGATGAAAAGTAAACTTTTAAAAACCAATATTAATGTTATAAATGTCTGATGTACGCATTGAAAATATAAATAAATACGTATATAGAAATCGACGCTCCGATATTCACAGCAGTGTTTATCAACGTTTTGTTTGATGTTTATTGGGTTATGTTATAATAACATGTAATCGCACAATATTTACATTCGTTGCGTATGTAAATTATTACTACGTAACCATCTGTTATTTCCGATTCAGACAAAAATTAATTCATATATTCATTTTACTAGATAATAACTTCAAACGGAGCATTATAACGTATGCGTACAGTTTACGTATTTCTAAAATAATGAAAATTTAGGTAATTCGCGAATGTAATAATATTTTGAAATATATGAACTATTCGAATTTAACCTTTTGATAATGTACCGTCATAAAATAAGAAAACACATTTATTCACATGAAAACCAAATACATTTATGACGTGACTGCGAGTGACCATTTTCTCTCAAGTAAAAAATAGGGATACCAAATTACAGGTCCAATATTATACGATCAAGTTAGCTTGTAATTGGAAATATGTTTAATCTTAAATAGTATTTGGTAATTGTTTTTTCTTTCTGACGAAAAAAAAAAATCAACATCAAATGGAAATTAAAATACGGAATAAATAATGACAAAATACACCCCCTTAACGTTAACTGTATAATTAAATGTATTAAGACGGTATTATCTTTCTTCGTTTCAATTTCTATTCTTACAACTGATGACTGCGCGATGTGGAAACACCATTCGATTGAAACATACTACCCATAAACCATTTAATGTCGTGGAATCAATAATAATTGAATTACATTTTTATTTATCACATTTTATTACGGTATGAATATGAAATATTATTATAAACGAATTACCAAACAAGATAAGTACTCTTCGATATTGTGTCATGATGTAAAAACATTTTTTCTTACAATATTTAATTCGATTATAGCTCAAATAATATTACAAATAATTATATAATAATAAAGATCACAAATTTAATGTTAAGCTTTAAATATGAATAATGGCTTGAAAAAAATAAGATAAAAATTAAACACAAACGCCTTTGGATTCATATTAAACGCGTTTTTTCAATAGGCATTCAAAGTGGACACAATTATTATTTGAAACTCCATAGAGTCATTTTTCTCTAATTAAAACGATGATTTCACATTATAATTTTACAATTATATTTTCACATTGTATTTTCATCTGTATACTTTTTATTTTAAACTCCATGGTTTCTCTATGTTTGACAATTAAATATTATGTTATTTTATTTTATATTCTTTTTTTGTAGTTGCTTCTAAAAAATGCCATCCATGTAACTAAAAGTGCGCTAAAATCACCAATTTACTACATAAATAATTCAATTTTATCGTATTATGAAAATCTATAAAAATTATATTAAAATAAAACCTAATATTATGACACTTTATAATATCAAATTTGGAAACTCTGAATACGTGTAAGCATGATGTGATTACATCAGAAAAGTATTTGGTCAAAAATTGTCAGCAATTAATAGTGATTAATAAAAAACATACACCAATTAAAACTAACCTAGTCGTACAATTAATTTACAAATTTGTCCATTTAAATGGACAATTTTTTTAATGTAATTAAAGCGTTCTAATAAAATTTCATGTCATATAATTTGATTCCAAAAATGTAATTTAATGAAGAATCCAATTTGATTTATGACTATATTGTTTATTTATTTAAATTTTTTGTTTTAAGTTACATTCCGGTCTTTCAAGACAAATAAAGAATCAAATTATTAATAACATACAACATTTATAATTTTTAAAAAGTATCTATACACAATGTATTATAATTGTATATCTGAAGTTATTGATTTTGTCACCTCTTTATAGGGGATGTTCGATCGGAATGTTCTTCTTCTTTTTATTCAGCTTAACGGTCCTTGAAGGATCTGAGTTGCTACAATTAAACCTCTTCACCTTTCCCTGTTGAATACTAATTTAACAGACGCATTCACATCCACTAATTAAAGTTCCTCTCCACGGCAACTTTCCATCTCGTTCGTGGTCTACCCAGTGGTAGGTTTTTCTGAATCGTTGCAATTGTAACCCTTTTTAATATATCATCTTCAGCTCTCCAGATATGTCCAAACCATTCCATTCTTTTGGTTCTTATATACATTCGTATAGTTTGTTTTTCATACAATTTTGTTACAAATTTTCATTTTTTCACTCTTCGAACGTTCCTGGATCGAGATTGTACACCAGACCAAAAACTGTTTTCAAATCATTTCTTCCAAAAACCGCAAATTTTTTGTTATCATCTTTCGTCGTAATTGTAACTTTTCTAACTCCCTTGGTCATTTTTTATTTGAATTTTCTTTAAAATAGTAGAAAAATAATTCTGACTGAAAGTTATTGTAATAAAGGAATATTTAAAATGTGTTTTCGTACTTAGTATTTGATGCAAAAATAACAAATTGTATAATTTAATTGATTGATTTTTTTAAAAACATTTATCCAAGAATATTATTTTAGAGAATTAATCTAATAAACATGCCTGTATACGTTCGTTAGTTCACATAGCGTTTTAAATATCATCAATTTATAATTTTACACTTGAAAAGTTTTTTATAATTATTATAAATATTTCTTTTAAAATATTAAAATTTATACTTATAGTAATTTAATTATTTTTGACCTAAATCTTCTGTCAGATTAGATCAGAATATTTGATATATTTTAGTTGTATAATTTCTGTATGATTTATTAAACTTTGTATAAGACTTAACGATTCAAACTCAAACTAAATGTATAATAATTATTTTTGAAAAAATAAATGTAAAGATAAATCACACTTGCTCGAAAAAGTGACTTGACATTTTCAAATTTTTATATAAATAACGTATTTATGAACTTTTATTATACATGTTTTGGAAATGTCAATAACTTATGAATCTGTACATTTTACAGTATAATAGAAGAATCATGTCAAAGTTCAAGTTTTAAATGTCTATAACAAATAAACAAATGAGGATCTCGAGTTTGTAGTAATATATATAAATTCATATTATGATGATTTTTATGTATGAAATGTTCAAGTCTAGAAAATTTCATACATTTTTATTGTCCATGATTATATATAATATTTTAAAATCAATATATTTCCCACGTTGCAATGGTGGAACTTCTAAAACAATTTCACGCTATTTCTGAAGAATGCGATAATGTTTGACTTTAAAATTAATCAAACTTTAAAACCACCATTGTCCACAAACCTAAAGTGCAAAAATGTCTAATTTTTTCAAATATAGTAATAATAATAATAATAATAATAAAATATCACTTACATAGTCTTCAAATGATTTTAAATACTTAATCTACAACAGCTCAAAGGGTGAAATGTTATTAATATTAATATCGTATCCCGGTCTAATTACCTTAGGTTTGTCGGATAAAATAATGTATTGTGGTAAGATATTTTTCTGTTCGTATTATTTTATTCTATTCAGAGTCTAATATAC